AGTCACAGATGATTCTGTAAACTCACTGGTACTCTCTGTTCTGGGAAGAAGGGACTTCAGTCAGCTGGATTGACCTAAACAAAAAAGTATGTCATTAGAAATGTACCATCCTCAGAGAAGGTGGTGATATAGCCTGGGACAACAGTGCATACTGAGTTTCCATGGCCTGGAAATGCATGGATGTTTTCACCCCGTCACAATGCATGGGACATTAGTGCCACTTCACATATTTAGGCAATAAAGTATTTAATACACAACAGCAGAAATGAAACTGTAATAGCATTCAAATCAGTTTGTCACAGAAGATGCTGGCAGCCTGCCTTAGTAATTGAAACAAGAAATTAACATCAGTTATACTTGTAATTATGAGTCTAGTCATAAAGGATCTCCCAAGGACCTGCATGTAAATCACTGTAAAGAATGATTTATTTTTTGAAATATGTTGCAAAATAGCCACTACGCCTTTTTGAGTATTTGTTTTTAAACTGGCAGGATAACTTTTCACTGCAGTTATAGGCCGCTGGTATTTCTGACCTTCTGGTGGGAGGCGTATGTGTTACATATTATTCATAGTTTGAATGACAGCAGCTCTGATCAGAGAGCAGAGCCCCACTGTGCTGCACAAACCTGCTTGTATCTGCTAGGTAAATACTTGCTTGTGTAGTCCATGGTGAAGCCTGTGGTGCTGCTATTATTTTGAGCAAGCTAACTAGATGCTGGTAATCATCAGGGCTCGACAAATAATGCAATCTACTTACCTGTGGCGTGTAGATTACAACCCGGAAGAGCCAGGTTTGGGCAATCTGCACATGTGCAGAACGATCTGCGCATGTGCAGATCACCGGACAGCGCGGCTGGTGAGCAGGGCTTGCCACAGTTTGGCAAGTCCTGGTAATCATCATAAGAACATAAGAACATAAGAATGGGAATACTGGGTCAAACCAAAGGTCCATCTAGCCCAGAATTCTGTCTGCCAACAGTGGCCAATACTAGATGCCCCAGAGGGCGGGAACACAACAGATAATCATCACGTGATCCTTCTCCAGTCATCCATTTCCAGACAAACAGAAGCTAGGGATACCTTTCCTACTCATCCTGGCTAATAGCCATTGATAGACCTAACCTCCTTGAATCAAACTAGCTGTTTTTTGAACTCTGTTAAAGTCCTAGTCTTTACAACATCCTCTAGTAAGGAGTTCCACAGGTTGACCGTGCTGAGTAAATAAAAAATCGTTTTGTTTGTTTTAAACCTGATGCCTATTAATTTCATTTGGTGACCCCTACTTCTTACATTGTGGGAATAAGTGAATAACTTTTCCTTATTTACCTTTTCCACATTAGTCATGATTTTATAGACTTCTATCATATCCCCCCCTGAGGGTGTGTCTAGACAGAGCACTTCTGTCAGAATAAGCTACACAATTTGCACTATGCAAATTGCATAGTTTATTCCGAGTCTAAGTCAAAAGAGCTTATTTTGAAATTTGGCGCTGTCCTCACAGCATGAGATTTCAAAATAAGGCACTATTCTGACAAATCTCTTAACACTTGTGGAACGAGGGTTACAGGAATGCTGGAAGTGTGCACCCACTATTTTAGGAAATAGTGGGAGCTTTTAAAGACACAGTGTTGCTATTTCGGGATACTTCCGATATCCTGAAATAGCAACTCAGTCTAGACGTACCCTTAGTCTCCCCTTTTTTAAGATGAAAAGTCTTTTTAATCTCTCTTCATTCTCTCTGAGGATAGGACAAGAAGTAATGGGCTTAAATTACAGCAAGGGAGGTTTAGACTGGGCATCAGGAAAAACTTCAGGGTGGTAAACACTGGGGCTGTGTCTAGACTGCATCCCTTTTCCGTAAAAGGGATGCAAATTAGACATATCGCAATTGCAAATGAAGCGGGGATTTAAATCCCCCCGCTTCATTTGCATAAACATGGCTGCCGCTTTTTCCTGGCTCGGAGCTTTGCCGGAAAAAAGCACCAGTCTAGACGGGGATCTTTCAGAAAATAAAGCCTTTTCCGAAAGATCCCTTATTCCAGCGGGGGGATTTAAATCCCCGCTTCATTTGCAATTGTGATGTGTCTAATTTGCATCCCTTTTACGGAAAAGGGATGCAGTCTAGACACAGCCTGGAATAAATTGCCTAGGGGGGGTGTGGAATCTCCATCAATGGAGATATTTAAGAGCAGGTTAGACAAGACACCTGTCAGGGATGATCTAGACTGTGCTTGGTCCTGCTGTGAGGGCAGGGGATTGGACTCAATGATCTCAAGGTCGCTTCCATTTCTAATATTCTATGATTCTATGATATGGAACCTGTTCCAAACCCCTAATCAGTTTTGTTGCCCTTTTCTGAACCTTTGCCAATGCCAATATATATTTCTTTGAGATGAGGTGACCACATGTGTATGCAGTATTCAAGATGTGGGCATACCATGGTTTTATAAAGGCAATAAGATATTCTCTGTCTTATTCGCTCTCTCTTTTTAAATGACTCCTAACATACTATTTGCTTTTTTGACTGCCACTGCACACTAAGGGCTCGTCTACATGTTAATTTCAACTATCGTAGTAGGGAAATCCGCGGGGGATTTAAATATCCCCCGCGGCATTTAAATAAAAATGTCCGCCGCTTTTGTCCGGCTTTTAGAAAAGCGGGAAAAGAGCATCTACACTGGCCCCGATCCTCCGGAAAAAGTGCCCTTTTCCGGAGGATCTTATTTAAATCCCCCGCGGTACATCCATAAGCATTTTTTATCATTTTTTTCTGAGTTATCCGTGACTTGGAAACAAGTAATACCATTATTCAAAGTAGGAATAAGATCCTCCGGAAAAGGGCTTTTTTTCCGGAGGATCGGGGCCAGTGTAGACGCTCTTTTCCGGCTTTTCTAAAAGCCGGAAAAAAGCGGTGGACATTTTTATTTAAATGCCGCGGGGGATATTTAAATCCCCCGCGGATTTCCCTATTACGATCTCTGAAATTAACATGCCCCTTTCGGAAAAGGGGCCAGTGTAGACGTAGCCTTAGTGTATGTTTTCAGAGAACTATCCACAATGACTCCAAGAGCTCTGTCTTGAGTAGTTGTAGTAACCCATCATATTGTATGTATAGTTGGGATTATGTTTTCCAACATACATTAATTTACATTTATCAATATTAAATTTCATTTGCCATTTTGTTGCCCAATCACTTATTTGATAAGATCTTTTGGAAGCTCTTCTCAGTCTGCTTTGGTCTTAACTATCTTGAGCAGTTTGGTTCCATCTGCAAATTTTGCCACCTCACTGTTTACCCCTTTCTCTAGATCATTTATAAATAAGTTGAATAGGATTAGTCCCAGGACAGACCATTGGGGAATCCTGAAAGGACTTTTCCTCTTATCCCATGACAACTTACTTTACATAAGAACCTTTGGTGAGGGACCTTGTCAAAGGATTTCTGGAAATCTAAGTATATTATTTCCACTAGATCCCCATTGTCCACATGTTTGTTGACCCCGTCAAAGAAGTCTAGTAGATTACTAAGGCATGATTTCCCTTTACAGAAACCATGTTGACTTTCCCTCAATAAACTTTGTTCATCTATGTGTCTGACAATTTTATTCTTTACTATAGTTTCAACTAACTTGCCCAGTACTGACGTTAGACTTACCAGTCTATAATTGTCATGAACACCTGTAGAGTCCTTTTTAAATATTGGCATGACGTTATCTATCTTCCAGTCATTAGGTACAGAAGCTGATTTAAAGGATAGGTTACAAACCATAGTTAATAGTTCCACAATTTCACATTTGATTTTTCAGACCTCTTGGGTGAATGCCATCTGGTCCCGGAGACTTGTTACTGTTAAATTTTTCAATTTGTTCCAAAACCTCCTCTAATGCTACCCTAAACAAGCTATAACTCATATTCCTAATTGCAGTGTAGACTTACCTTAAGGCCTTATTTACACTTAAGATTATAGCTCTTTCCTGTATCGATATAGTTAAAGCAACACAATCCCCACTAGTGTACATTCAGCTGTAATAGTATAAAAGTTATTACACTGGGATAGCTTATTTCAGAATGGCAAGGGGAATAAGCCCTGGTCTATGCTTACAATTTAGAGAAAGCTAGGTCTGTCACTCACAGATGTGAAAAATTCACACCCCAGTGTAGTCATGGCTAGGTCAATGGGAAAATTCTTCTGTTGATCAAACTAACACTGAATGGGCAAGCAGATTACCTGGGTTGATGGAAAAATCCTTTCCATCCATGTAGGAAGCTATAGCATCCATACTGTAAAAATGCTCTATGTACTACCAGTATGAGAATAAGGAGTATAGCTCTGTCCACATGACGAGCTCTACTGGTAACTATGTCAGTGAAAAAAAAATCACATCCCTAGCTGACACAGTTAGGCTGGTACAAAAACTAGGTATAGATCAGGTCTTGGAGATCAAAGTCTCTATATCCCATTACCAGGCCTATGAAATAACCTGAAACAATTTCTGAATGAAAATAAGAATGATAGATTCTCAATATAGCTACTGAATAAAACAGTATTTAAGAAGATGCATTTTTAGAGGAATTCCATATTTAGTCATTAGAGAGAAATCATCACCAGAAGGAGCCAGCGATGTGAATCCTTAAGTCTAGAATCAGAAAAATATAATATAACCATATATTGCTATGACCTCAACAATATAAAGCCACAAAATCCATTAAGGGTTTCTTCTCTTTTTATGTTGCGTAAGTGAGAAAAGGTGATCTGCATGTTTCTATAATCAGCGAATGTTGCCTGTTTCCTGATTCTGGTGCCAATTCCCCATTTAAATTTCAGCCATAATGTTACAGTACATTAATTTTCATAGACTGCAGGAAAACATATGTAGCATGGAGGTGTTCGCTGTTACAAAATAAAACAGAAATTGCTGTAAAATAAAACACACACACACACAAAGAACCCAGGCTTGGGCTGCAATTAGAAACTATCTCTCTCCTTGCAATGTTACAGAGCTTTGTGCTACATTCGGGAACATTCCTGCCGTTTATTTTGAATATCATTGGAAGGCATCATTTGAAGTCTGATGGAATTTCACTCCTATTCAAAAGGATGTCCATTGCAACAAGTGTCTTTGTTGGACAAAGAAAAGCAGCTGAAAATGTAATAGTGAAGGGCATACCTGGAATAAGTGCTCATTCTAAAATGACTAGCTGTTCAGCCATGTGTGGATAGAGCTAAGCTGCTTTTTCCCATGAAAACAGCTTTCCAGCATTTGTTCAGATAAATGTGTTCCCTTAAAATGTTCTGCTTGTTGCATTTATTTCTTTTCTCTGCATTACTGAGTTTGAACAGCTGGACACACCAATTGCAGGATGTTATTCACCACAGGAGACATCAAGATATTTGTTGTCAGAATTTTTCCCTACCAGATGGATGAGCTAAAAAAGGTACAGGGTCAAATTCTTCTCTGATATATACTCTTAAATGGACACTGATGGGAAGGGCATATCTATACTTACTCGGGGATTGGTGCAGCAATCAATCGATCCCCTGGGGGTTGATTTAGCAGGTCTAGTGAAGACCCACTGAATTGACTGCTAATTATTCTCTTGTTGACTCCAGTACTTTGCCAGAATGAAAAGCGCAAGGAAAGCTGATGGGAGAGTTTCTCCCACCTACCCCCAACAGTGGAGACCTCATGGCTACTCGAGCTAAAGAACGTCGACTCCAGCTATGCAATTCACATAGCTGGGGAGTTGTGTACGTTAGGTCGACATTACCCTGTAGTGTAGACCAGCACTGAGTGATGGTTGAATATGGCCCTTACTATGCAAGCTTCTCCTGACCATACCAACAAACATAACAGAAGTTTTATTTGCTTGAATGACATTGAAAACTAGGTACCTTTTGCCATATTTGTTGACTAGAGTGATGTAAGCCTAATAACATCTAATTTCTCTCAGTGGTCTACAATAACAACATGATTTTACCTTTGTCCATCTTATTTCTGTCCTTTGCACACTCATGTTAGGAGAAGGGCTGAGGGCCTAATGCTGTTTTGCAAAATTGCATTCACTTTTTGCCTAAAGTAAACCTCTGTAAGTGGGGGAATTAACTATATACATAATCAGCAGGATTGCAGGGTTTTGTTCCTGGTTTAGTATAGGCTGGTATAATATAGTACATATAGCCTCACCTAAAAGAGGGAAAGCTTAATCCAGTAGAAGAAAGCCATAAAAATTGTTTGGCAATCCCAATACATGCAGCCTTCGTCTTCACGGCGAGTTCTTTTGGAAGAAAATTTGCTAATGAGAGACTCATTAGCATAGTTTCTGCCATTTCCTTTTGTGCAAGGGGTTTTTGCACAAAAAGTAGTGTGGATGGGTTTTTTTGTGCAAAACCCCCATTTTGCGCAAAATCCTTATGTCTCTCCAGATCAGGCATAAGGATCTTGCACAAAATGGGGTTTTTGCACCAAAAAATCTCATTCACACTCCTTTTTGTGCAAAAAACCCTTGTGCAAAAAGAAACGGAAGAAAATATTCTAATGAGAGTGTGACTTATGCTAATGAGCCCCTCATTAGCATATTTTCTGCTGGAAGAACTCGCAGTGAAGACACAGCCACAGAGGTTATCAGAATCTAGCACTCTACTAGCTATGAAATCCCATTAAGTCAGTGAGACAGATACTCGATTGGTGCAAATTGTCCCTGAATGAAGTCAATGGAGGATCTCCTGTAAGGATTACAGTTTTATTCAGAGTGAGTAAGGATAGAACTGCCATAAGAAAGAATAGATACATGTATTATACTGACTTTATCCCCTGTATGCAATTCCTTTTACATAGCTGAAGGATGTCCAGAGAGACCTCATTGGAAATGAACCCATCCCAGATGAACAATTTAACACAAATATTTACAGCTATGGAAACAAATCTGAAAGCCCCTTAAAGGTGCATGTTATCAACAAGTGCAATAAGTAGAGTTGATTTTTATGGGGAGACTTGTATGATTAATAGGAATCAGAGGATCTTTCTAAGCTCTGTTCCCAGCTGTGAAACAGACTGGGGACACAACTTTTTTGTCCTTTTACCAGTCTGTAAAAAGGGATATACATATTTCTCTAACCACAGGGGTGCTGGGTGGCTTACTATCAATGTTTACAATATACTTTGAGATCCTTGGGGTACTATTAATATATATAAAATAATAATAGTAATGATCTAGGTTTACTTGGTTCCGCCTCAGTGCAAGAGGCTGGACCAGATGGTCTCTCCAGGGCCTTTCCAGCCCTACATTTATATGACTATGATTATTTATTGTTGTTACTAGCAATTTATAGCAGTCCTCACTAAAGCTGGTGAATGTAGAATTTTCTTCTGTTTCTGAATTGTTGGCAAGCTGATCCCAATTTCTGAAAGTGTATGTGTAAGTATAGTCCAAAGAATATGAACAAACAGCTTTCTGCTTTGGGGATGTTTGCAAAATTTGCATTTTGGATGAAATTCACTCCCATGCAGAGGGCCAGCAATTCTCATTTAGCTCGTACTTTGGATGTTTGTGTGAGTAAACTGGGCAGTAATGAATGATAAAATGATAAAGCAGAAATAATCAGCAGAAAATAGGGACTAAAGAGCCACTAGTTCATGCACATATATTTGGCTCACATGCGCAGTATGGATATGTCTAGACTCCAGGCTGCTTTTGGAAGAAGCTTTTCGAGAAGAGATCTTCCAAAAAAACTTCTTCCAAGAGAGAGCATCTACACAGTAAAGTTAGTCTGGTGTAGCTAAAATAAAAGACAGAACTATGTAGCACTTTAAAGACTAACAAGATGGTTTACTTATGTGATGAGCTTTCGTGGGCCAGACCCATTTCTATTGATCTGAGGAAGTGGGTCTGGCCCACGAAAGCTCATCACCTAATAAACCATCTTGTTAGCCTTTAAAGTGCTACATAGTTCTGTCTTTTATTTCAGCTACACGGCAAAAGTACATCGAAAAAGCGATCTGCTTTTTTGAAAGATAGCGTCTATTCAGTGTGGACGCTATCTTGCATTTAAGCTGTGATTACAATGGATGGAGTGGCTACCAGGGCATCTATGCTTTTTCCTCTTTCCTCTTCTTTTGAAAGAATTCCCTCTTCCCTGTCTGCCCATGCCTTTTTCTGAAAGAGCTCCAGGAGAGGCATAAGGTTCTGGTGCAAAAAGGAAATGCCCACACTGCATGTTTGTGCGAAAAAAACCTTTGCGCAAACACGGATCAGAATAGATTATGCAAATGAAGTGTGACAAAATGCTAATCAGCGCCTCATTTGCATTGCCTCTTCTGGCAAAAACTGTAGTGTAGACGTAGCCTATGAGTGTTAGCCTAGGGTGAAATTCACACCTGTAGAGAGAGCCAATGCAAAGCCTAAACCAATGGTTTTCAGACTATGGGTCATGAACCAGTATTAAGTCGTGGAATGTCAACCACTAAACCTTGTTGCTGCAGGGGAATCAGGTGACCAGTGGGGGTGCTAAGGCAGGCTGCCTGCCTGTACTGGCATTACAGACCGCACTGTGCCCCAGAAGCAGCCTGCAACAGGCCCAGCACCTACGTGGGGGTATGGGCAGCGCACAGAGCCCTGCAAATGGCCCCTGCCCTGTAGCTCTGCACTCCGATTGTTTGGGAACCTGCTGCTGGCTGTTTCTGGACATAGAAACTGCCATGCCAAGAAAGACAGGAAGTTGTCTTAGCACCCCTGCAGCACTGCTAAGTGGGAGCAGCTCAAAGTAAGCCCCTCCTGCCCCAGCCCTTAAACCCCTCCCAAAGCTGGAGTCCCCTCCCATGCCCCAAAGCTCTCATCCTCAGCCCCACCCCAGAGCCCACACTCCGGTCAAATTATGTTGGGTTGCGGGCATCAAAAATTGTCTTCAGCTGAGTCATGAGAAAAAAAGTTTGAAAATCATTGGCCTAAGCAACACCTAAATCCTGTTTTCTTCTTCTAGTCATGGGCCCATCTATATGGGTTGGTTCATCATCTCCTTCCACAGGGAGCACCCTAGTTCATAGAGGGTTCATAAAGGACTCATTTCAAACTTTCTTTGGCAAAGCAGTACAGCCTGTTGCCAGCCTGATGCCAACACTCCTCCACTTCCAACTGGGCTTGGGACCAGCTATGGTGGAGTTCTCTCTCAAAATAGGGCTTCAGTGGAACTTAAATGTGATGCTGGCCATCTGCACAGGGTGAATGCCACCTATAAAGACCAGGCAGTCCCTCACACAAAGACCTGTTCATGTGAAGAATCATAAATAGTGAATAAAAAGAGGTGCGAACATCGTCAAACTATACAGTTGTCTGGAGTCTGAATGGATGGATGCTCACAAACAGTGATTTTGTAGTGTTTTGCACCCCACACTGTGTTTACATATCAGTTTATACAGAGGGTGATGTATAAAACATGCACACAGAGCGATTATTATGATTATCTTAGCACACTTGTGAAAGTTGAATGAAAACTAATGTCAGACTCATTTTGCATTCAACTATGGCAGAGCAAGAAATGTGGCTGCTAATAAAGGAAGATTTGGCAGCTGCAGAGCATTGGCAGTGGTACAAGATTTCTTAGCAAGCTACTGAATAGCTCCAGCTGTGCAGAACTTGAAAGTTATCTTGAAAGTACTAAACGACAGCTGTCCTGGTCCTCTGGACCACTTGCCTATCTTAGAGATGATTTTTTTAAAATAAAAGTTATAAGCTTATGTTATCACTTGCCCTTTATTAGCATAATAACCAAATAAATAAATAAATAGCTCACATGTAGGAGTATAGTTAGCAGTAATGATCAGATAAAAGCTGGTATGACGTTCAGCAAATGCTGCAGACTACCTTCTGAATTGCATCAGAGGCATAGAGATTGCGGTGAAACACATGGTTTGCATTGTGTCCAGGTTTTGATGTTTGCCCTATTTAATAAGTCATATTGTTCCTGTGTCGTCATGCTCCGCTAGGCAGGTAAAATGAAATGCTCTTTACCACAACAGCAGTGAAATTAGCAAAGAGAGAGCAAAAGATTGCCACTCTCTCTAGCCAGTTTCCTTTCACTGAATAAAAGTCTTTATCTTGACAAACAAATGGCAGCCATATACAACAGAACAAAGAACTAATTGGTGGCTGTTGTACATTGTGCTAGATTAGAAACAGTGTGAAGCCATCTGCAGCAAAGCACATAAATACATACTGAACTTTTGGGGCAGTGAATTCAGTGGGACT